CGAGGCTGCATCCGGCCGCCATGACAGCCGGCCAGCCTCCCTTGGGCCACTCTTCCTCCTTGCCTCTCGGCGTAAAGCCTAGGATGAATTCCCAGAGCGTTACGGGCAATTTTCACCCTATTAGTCGGGGTAAATTGGGGTCCCTAGGACGGGTCCCAGGGACGGGTGGGGATACGGAGGTCTGGCAGTTGTCATAATAGGGGGTGGAAGCAATTGTCACTGACGGGTGCGTTCACAAGGGCGCGCTCTTTAATAAACTTGAAGCCCCTATGAAGTGGCGGGAGATTTGAAATTTATACCGTTCTCATCGTCACTTGGAGAGGAGGTTTTCAGGGGAGCCATTCTCTCAATCTCCTCTTCTCGTCCTGTCACACTCCTTTCGCGTCTATCCCTCACCTTCGTTCAATTTAGTTCTTCCATATCGTCCCCCACGATCGTCATAGCTTTCCTATCCCTTATATTCATCATTCCACTTCTCTCTCTCTCCCAATCTTTATCACCAACCACCCAGTTCGACCATCCTTTACCACCAACCACTCGACCCTCTTCCTCTGTGAATTGCTTTCCCGCCAAATTTACCCTTCGCGCCAAAATGACCTGCTCTGAGTATTAGCGCGGGGAGAACCGCTTCCCATCCCATCCCGAGGCCTGTCTTATCTTTCAGTCCCGTCTACTCCACGCCGCATATTATTCCGATCTCCCCCGCTAATATCTGCGTTAATCTCAGGAAGTACCAGGCCAAACAGGGCCTAATCACGCCGAAATTAAACCATTAAATCCAACAAAACTGGAGATAAACACGAAGCGCCGTTCGATCCCGTTTGGCGCGCGCGGGAAACCAGTTAGTCACGTGACCCCCCGCTGGCCATCTGGCTGTTTGAGGTGGAACGTGGGAAAATCTTTCAATATTCGAAGCAGTTAATCAGGTCTTGCAGAGGGGGGGGGGGATACTTCGCTCGAACAACCAGTAATCATTTGAACGGCATTCTACCAGATATAATTAGGCGTTTATAAAAAAGCATTTTTACACGATCAATTATTGATGAATATACGATGAATTCGTCTGGTATAACAATCTCAGGATCACAAGTTGATGGTTTGCCTCATCCCCCCTTCACTCTCCTCTCAGCCCCCCGTAGTGATTCGACCACATGATGAACTCTCTTAACCATCATCCCACAACGGAACTACCCTCCGGGTGGCCCATGGCTCTATTTCCCGCACTATTGCGAGTGATTTGCGACCTTTCCAACCGTGGAGAATAGCTCTCTAGTGCCCCCTGGATGCTGGAGATGTCTGGAGATAGCCTGAAGCATCACTTGAGATGTCTACCACCCCCTCCATCTCCCCCCTCCCCCCTCCCCCCTCCCCAAAGCGTACAATATTAAACGCTCTTCAAAACGTCGACATTTGGTCATATCGAACAGCTGGGGTATCGTAAGACCCCCATTGATGAATTGGCTCATAAGATAAAAGGGTTTCTTAGCAACTCTGCTCAAGCTAATACGTCATGTGGACACACACAACAATTCCTGAACCACTACAGTAACTACCCCCCCCCCTCCTTAACAACCTTAACCACCCACCAACAAGTGATTCGACCCACCCTCCCCCCCCCACCCACCACCCTTCCCTCACAAAAATTTAAAAAAAAAAGACAAAACTGTTCCCACGGTAATTGAAAACTATCCCATTAGCCAACCAATCAGGAGCCTAGCTTATCTCTCCACCACAAACAACCCCCCTCCCCCCCCCTCACTGATATCTGTCAACCTGTGAAATTGACAGCACGTCCTGGGAAGGTTGGTCTGTCAGCGTCCCTGGGGGGTGAACCACAGGGGGTGAAACCACAGGTGTAAAAAAAGGAATTAAGCCTGGTGAACCAGATTTGATCATTTGATCAAGGAACCACAATGGGTTGAACCACACGTGTATGAGGTTAAGCCTGGTGAACCAGACTTAAAGAGGGGAGGGGGAAGGTTAGGGAGAGGAGAGAGGGGGGAGGAGGGGGGGGGGTTGAACCGAAGGCTTACAATGTTCAACAACACACCAGAGGGTGAACCTATCAGGCTTTCGAGGTAACATCATAGGTGTATAACCTCTGTTGTATGACAGTAAACCATAGGTGTATGACAGTAAACCAAAGGTGTATGCCAGTAAACCAAAGGTGTATGACAGCAAACCAAAGGTGTATGACAGTAAACCATAGGTGTATGACAGTAAACCAAAGGTGTATGACAGTAAACCATAGGTGTATGAGAGTAAACCATAGGTGTATGACAGTAAACCAGAGGTGTATGACAGTAAACCATAGGTGTATGACAGTAAACCATATGTGTATGCCAGTAAACCAAAGGTGTATGACAGTAAACCAAAGTTGTATGCCAGTAACTAACATATATATTCGAGAGTAAACCACAGGTGTACGAATGGAAGCCCCAGCAAGGCGTATATAAGTGTAAACCGCAGTCATACGACCCTAAACCCTAAATGACAGGTGTTGAAGAGGTACCACAAATGTGTGGTGTATGAGGTGTATGTGTGGGGGGGGGGAGGGAATGGACCACAGATACAGGTGTGTGAAGTGCAGGTGTACGGAGTTCTTAAAATATTTGGGAACGAGTCACATGTATATATATATATATATATAATATATATAATATATATATATATATATATATATATATATATAAGAACGAAAGT